GCATATGTTGTCTTGCATTTCTTCTACTTTGTTGCACCGCCATCTGCTTAGTTTACTCATCATATATGTCGAGATGCCATGCCCATCCATTATCAATACATATTCCATTTGTCATCATACCATATTTTTCCACTCAAATGTTGTTCTTGTGCATCAAACATCAAAAAGGAAGAGGGTGGTTGACGAACCTGAAGGAGCACCAGCAAAGTCCTTGAAAAACGTGGTGGTGCCAGAGAAATCAGACAGCACCCCACTTATATTGGTTGTACAACCAGTGACACAAAACGTAGGACCGACTCCAGCAGACTGTACCCATACTTCACTGGCCACACCACTAGCCCCACCACACATGACCTGCACTCCAGCAAAAGGTATACCGATTTCATTTGCCACAGCACCAGTCGTATCACAGAAAAATCCCACTCCAGCAAAAAGTACAGCAAGTCCACCGGCCGAAGACCTATCCCAACTGCAGGGATGGCAAATTCCTGCAGATTGGAACCCCATTCCATTTATTCCCAGTTTAAAATACAATGCTTTCAATGTTGTTAGGGACTACATGCATATATTCCCATCATGGAAAGATTATAGTGAAGACAAATACCATTTTCATATCTTCCTGTCCAACTTACGTGTAAGTGCTATTATTCATGGTTATTATTTTCCTGTTTTCTGCTGATTGAACACATCAATGATTTACATTACATTGTTGTAACTAGGAGAGGGTCAATCTGGATAGTCATGACGAGCAAAGCTTGCTTGTGCTTTTCAAGGAAGCATTGCAGCAGTATTGGTGTTACCTGAGGAAATCACACTTTGATGGCAAGTCTATAAATGAATTTCTGGTGAAGTCTCATATGTTAAATTTAGAAGACATTGAATGGAAAAACCTTGTTATGCACTGGTCTCGTTCCCGGGATGAGGTACTGTCTATGAAATCACATGACAATTTGAACTTCTACTTTTCCGCATGTGCCTTACGGATGTTTTTTGCAGGAAATCTGCTTGAAGAAGAATTCCGGTTTGAAAAGAACGACATGATATCGCAAATATGATGCCCGCTGCTTTGCTCTTGTTAGTACCTGTTGTCCTGTATCACTGTACTTGCATACATACCTGGTTCATTATGTGACAGCAGTATGCATGATAGCTTGATTATCAATTGTTCACTCCAAATTATCTGATCTGTATGAATGGTTACATTAGTGTAGAATATATCTCAATGCCAATGATTTTTTTAGCTCTGCATTGTTCTTGTAAGTACATGTTGTCCTTTATCAGTGTACTTATAATGACAGGTAGTTATTCATGTACCATCACTCTGCAGCTTATTTTCCTTTGCCCTCCATTTTCTACACATCAGATCTATATTTACTCTTACCATAAGGTTGGTACTGAAGAAGTTTAGATGTGCATTGCTCTTGGTTGTACCTTTTGCCTGTATCGTTGCACTTACATTTACTTGGTTATGTAGCATCACTCTTCATCTTATCTTAAATATTCTCCATTTTTTCGTATATTATCACATCTATATTTACTCTTAACAAAATGTAGAATAAAAGCAATGCTTATGAAGAAGATTCTGTGGTAAACTTCTTGAATTGCCCCCCCCCCCCATCAGCATGGACAAAGGCTTTATAGAGCCTGTCTTCACCAATAATGTAAGTTTGTCCTTCTCAAGCCTTCAAACTTTGTTGTGTATATTTGGTTAGGCATGACTACAACAACTATTTATTTTTGGTGTTTGCATCAAATTGCATGTTTAAAGTTTATTATGTAGTTCATAAACAAAAGTTTGTCCTTCTCAATTTAAGTTTTCAGTTGTACAACCAAGTTCCTTCTTCATACCATGTAAATAAAACTATACAGAGCAAGTGATCTTCTTTTGCACTGCATGTATGCTTCTGTTCTTCATCCGTAATCCAGTGGTGTGGTGAACCTACCCACTACAGCACAATGTCATATTCTGCAATGTCTTAACTATGAACAATGTCATATCATTCTACTATTATTTAAACCGTCTCTTTATTTGCCAATCTGAAATGGGATAAATTGACAGCACACTAGCCATTGATACGTATGAGTTTTTGATCTATAATCCAGTGGTGTCGTGAAGCTGCCAACTCCTTCACAATGTCATTTCCTGCCATGTCTTGACCTGAACAATACCATATTGTGTTAATGCAATTTTAAATTGTGTCACTTTATTGGTCAGTAAGAAATGTGATGAATTGTCAACACTAGTACTTTTATGTGCAAAACCTGTCATTTGTCTGCTTGTTTATCTTTCAGAGCGAGGAAGATATAAGTATTGAACAAGCGCAGTCTCATCATCTTGCTCGGCTGCTTGCGCTACAGCTCCCCAGCAGGGCTAAACTTTCTTGAACTCTATTGAAGTGATGTCGGTTTTGTATATTATTTTATTGGCGTGTTTATTTGCACTGGTGGCGATCTTTGATGCCCAGTGTATGTAATCTGTTGTCTGCTTGTGCTTTATTATCATAGTGGCGAACTTTGATGCCAGTGGATGTAATATGCCGTAATATCTTTATTGTATAGTCTAGGTTTTTTCTTATTCACGATGCTGCAGTTATTTTACTATATATATATATCTTGTCTTCGCAGTAAACCGGCCAAACTGTAAAATTACGATACATAATCGGGCCATCATACAATCATGATGTATGATTCGCATCATGGGCCCCGTCATCTTGGTCTGTTAAAAGGCCAAAAGTAAACTGGCCCGCTAGTAGATTCGGGCTTTTAATAGGCCGAGTAACTCCCGGCCCTCTTTTCGCAAAAACTCAATGGGCTTTTAGGAGGCTGAGAAGTAGGTTGGGCCTGAAACGTGCTGAACAGCTCATGGGTCGGCAGCAACCCGAAATGGACCCCGACCCACTATTGTGCGAATCAAATCACGGGCTTTTAATAGGCCAAAATTGTCTCGGTCCTTGTTTGGCCCAATCAGTTATCGGTTGCGAGCAGGCCGGATGCAAACCGGGCCGTAGTTAGGCCCAACTATATGACGGGCTTTTAACAGGCCGAAATTAATATAGGGCCGAAATGTTAACGGGCCCTTAATAGGCCGAAACTAATACCAGGCTGAATTACTAAATGGGTCTTTAGTAAGTGGGCCCAAAAACATAGCGTCCAGTTGACGGGCCGAATCTGATATGTGTCATAATTTAGCCCAAAGCCTCTTAAAAGAGCCAGACCTGATCTGGGCCGTAATTTGGCCCAGAACGTGGTAGGCTTTTAACGGGACGGATCTCATATGGGCCATTATTAGGCCCGGAACGTGGCAGGCCATTAATGGACCGGATCAAATATGCGACGGCATTTGGCCCAAAACATGGCAGCCAGTTAATGGGCTGGCCTACTAGGGTCCTCAAAATATTGTGGGCCTACAGCTGGGCCGGCCCATTAATGTCGGCGAAATCTCATGGGCCTTTAGCTGGGCCGGCCCATTATGATCCGCAAGAATTTTGTGGGCCTTTACCTGGGCCGGCCCATTATGGTCCGCAAAATCTTGTGGGCCTTTAGCTGGGCCAGCCCATTATGGTCTGCAAAATCTTGTGGGCCTTTAGCTGGGCCGGCCCATTATGATCCGCAAAATCTTATGGGCCTTTAGTTGGGCTGACCCATTTAAACTTGATGGACCGGTCCACGTGTCAACATATCATCAACGCGTCTCACCCATCGGATGAGTGACACCTGTGCCAACGCGGACCTGACACGTGTCTCCTTCAGCCAATGATGATTTTATACGTGGAAAATCCCCATTGGTCGGGACTGTTAACGGGTTATCGAATTCAAAACCCGACTCGATAGCTTAACGGCGTTCTGTTACGATGGATGCCACGTGTCGGTCACCCTTAACGAAAGCACTTCTGAAACGCGTGATTTATCGTCATGGAAGTGGACACTTCTGTGATGATAATTTTTGTAATGTCATGGAACACTTTTACGACAACACATGTATGACTATCTTGATTTTGTCATAAAATCGTTATGGATGTACATGCATGACAAAAAACGCGACCTACTGTGACAAACACGTATCATGACGGAAGTGTATTTTTTTGTAGTGCATCCCACCATTCTGATGTCCTTGGTGAAGCGGCTGCTTCTTTTTTTTGGGGACGGCCTCAGGAGGGCAGACAGCACCCTCATCACCTGGGTCCTCGACCGCCGCGGCCTGGTAGGCACGCTCGAGAGAGCACACCACGTCTTTCTTCTCACAAGCGACCGTGATGATGCTGCAGCTTCCTGACATCTTAAGGACGTTGTAGCTACGGTGGGTGACCGTAATTTTTTTTAAAACAATGAATAGTTCTATTCGCTCGTCGCACCACACTATACCTGGCCAAACCTCGGACCGGGTCGGGCTTAGCGCCGGGCCTAGCCAAGCCCGACACAAAAAACCCAAGCTCGAGCCCGGCTCGGCCCGGCCATCGGGCTTGTGTTTCTGGGCCCGAGCCCGGCCCGAGCACGTAAAAGCCCGTCGGGCTCCGGGCCGGCCCGGCTGACCTTTAGAAAAATGCAAAAACAACGGGCCCGGCCCGGCCCGGCCTTCGGGCTCAAAAACTAGGCCCGAGTCCAGCCCGGGGGGAACGTCGGGCCGGGCCGGGTCAGGTTTTTTCGGGCCGGGCCGGGCTTCCCATGGCCAGGACTACACCACACAACGCCCACCGTTCGCCTACTTTCTCCATCTGGTCCACTCGGAATCGTCGGACGGACTTGGCGCACCGAGTCCCAACCAAGGTGGAGAAGCAGGACTCCCGATCGAGCGGAGCATATACCTACATCCAGCTCACCCTCAGCTTCACTTGCGACGAGGCGCAACCACGCCAGGTAAAATAAACTACTCCTAGTACCAAGGTGAAGCAGAGCAGAGCAACGGCTACAGCCCACGGGTGAACCATGGATATGCTTCGTGGACGGAGAAGATAGCAGCGGTAGGGACGGGACAGGCGGGGTTGGGAGACCGGTGGCCCGTCATGTGGACGCCGTCGCGAGGTCTGGGCAGCGGCCGCCGTGCTGGGCTCCGGCGCATCGCGGATTACATCGGCGAGGACCACACCGACGCGTCCGACAACGAGTCGTTCATCACGTCGCACAGCGACGAGCTCCTCGCGTCGACGTCGGCCGCGGGCGGTGCCGGTAGCAGCGTCGGAATGCTGCCGGCGTTTCTCGCGGATCAGAGCGACCTCGTGGAGGTCATGCTGGAGCTGGACGAGGAGTCCATGGTGGTGCGCAGCGTGACGCCCACCGCGGGGCCGACGGCGCTGGCCGGGGCCGGGACGCACACGCCGGGGAGCGGGCGCAACCTGAGCCGGAGCTCGTCAACCTCGTCCATGATACGCAGGACGTTCGCGTGGCTGCGGTCGCCGGCGGCGGCGCCCGAGCAGCAGCGGGAGGCGGCGATGGCGTCCCGAGAGCGGCGCCGCGTCCAGGCCAGGCTGGACCGCTCGCTGTCCGGCGCGAGGCGCGCGCTGAAGGGCCTCCAATTCATCAGCCGCGCCACGGGCTCCGCCGAGGCCATCGCGCTCTGGGGCGCCGTCGAGGAGCGCTTCGACGCCCTCTCCCGCGACGGCCTCCTCGCCCGCGAAGACTTCGGCGACTGCATCGGTACGCCGTGCATGGCACTTCGGTTCACGACATGATCGCGAGTTCACCATTGACGGTCGGTTTCAGGGATGGTGGACTCGAAGGAGTTCGCGGTGGGCATCTTGGACGCGCTGGCGCGGCGGCGGCGGCAGAACCTCCAGCGGGTGACCAAGGAGGAGCTCCACGACTTCTGGCTCCAAATCTCCGACCAGAGCTTCGACGCGCGGCTGCAAATCTTCTTCGACATGTACGTACGGCCCAGCCAGCCACCTAACGATCACGTCGTTCCCCTGTTCGCTCCGGTCCGCGCAGGTGGCTCACGCATTTCCTGCTGCCATTGCCAAAACAAATTTCAGGGTGGACACCAACGTCGACGGGAGGATCACGAGGGAGGAAGTGCAGGAGGTGCCGCCTTGATCCACTAAACGAATCTGCTCCTTATTACAGTACCACTACTCCTAGTTTAAACCGCCGAACGGTAACAAGTTTGGAAGATTCGATACTGCTGAACTGCTGATGCGTCATGCTTGGTCACTGCCGACATATTACTGCTTGCTTACTGTAATGAAATTTAATTACTAGTACCATTTGTTAATCACTGCTTGATTCCGGCAGCTGATCGTCCTGAGCGCGTCGGCGAACAAGCTCTCAAAGCTCAAGGAGCAGGCCGAGGAGTACGCGTTGCTCATCATGGAGGAGCTCGACCCGGAGGGCCTCGGCTACATAGAGGTACCGCACCCGTACAAACACAGTAGCACTACTTCCTAGGTATTGTACGTATTTGACATGGCACGTACGTACGGGGTACGGCACGTGGGGGCATGCAGCTATGGCAGCTGGAGGCGCTGCTCCTGCAGCGCGACGCCTACATGAGCTACAGCCGGCCGCTCAGCAGCGGCAGCGGCAGCGCGGCGCAGTGGAGCCAGGACATCGCCGACGGGGGCGCGCAGCAGCAGGAAAAGCCGGCGGCGACGGCAGCGTCAGGACGGAGCGGGTGGCGGTGGAGCCCGTGGCGCGCGGCGGGTAGGGCGCGCGTGGCGGCGGAGGAGAACTGGCGGCGCGCGTGGGTGCTCGCGCTGTGGGTCGCGGCGATGGCGGCGCTGTTCGCGTGGAGGTTCGCGCAGTACCGCCGGTCGGTGGCGTTCGAGGTGATGGGGTACTGCCTGCCGACGGCCAAGGGCGCCGCCGAGACGCTGAAGCTCAACATGGCGCTCGTGCTCCTCCCCGTCTGCCGCATCACGCTCACGCGGCTCCGCTCCTCGTGGACGCGCTTCCTCGTGCCCTTCGACGACTGCATCGCCTTCCACAAGGTGATAGCCATGGCGATCGCGGCGGGGATCTGCCTGCACGCGGGGAATCATCTGGCGTGCGACTTCCCGCGGCTGATCGCGTCGAGCCCGGGGGAGTACCGGCCGCTGGCCGGCTACTTCGGGGAGGAGAGGCCGACGTACAGGAGCCTGCTGTCGGGCATGGTGGGCGTGACCGGGGTGGTGATGGTGGTGCTGATGGCCGTGTCCTTCACCCTGGCGGCGCGGCCGCTGCGGAGGGCGTCCACCCGGACCCGGCTGCCGTCCCCGCTGGGCCACCTCGCCGGGTTCAACGCCTTCTGGTACTCCCACCACCTGCTCGTCGTCGTCTACCTCCTGCTGCTGGTGCACGGCTGGTTCATCTTCCTCGTCACCAAGTGGTACCAGAGGACGGTACGTAATTACTTACCACTAGTTCCTTCACTTCTCTGTAAGAAGTACTTACTTTTTATCTTCGCTGCATTGTTACTGTCGCGGTTGTCTTTAGTTGTTGGTTAATGACTGCGGCGTGTACTTATTTTACCAAATTTTATTTCATGACGCTGACACTTGTCTGATTTGGGCCTTCCAAAAGAAAAGCATCGCGATTGCACGGGCACTAGGGTCGTCGTCTTGGCTGTTAAGCTGATGGGCACCGGGCACCACGTAAAAGGAAAGACAATGTAGTTCAAACGTTGCGCCCATGATAGTCTTGAGATCCAAGCCACCGGCAGCTTATTTCCTTTACGTGCTTCGGATATACAATATACTTAGAGCATCTTCAACAGCCGTCCAACGCGCGGCGCTCTAAAAATCAGTTTGCAGCGCGCCGATCGCTTGCTTTGGCGTGGCGAGGAGCGCTGACTCCAGCACCCGCGATAAATTTAGCGCGCGTAGCTCTAACAGGCGCGCTAAAATGCAGCGCGCGCTCTCGCACAAACAACATGTGCGCTTCAAACACAAGCAAGAAGATCAAACATAAACAAAATAAATCAACAATAAATAGTTCAATTTCGTTATTACAACTCAAACAAATAGTTATCTTTCAATTCAACAAATAATTCAACAATACAACATCAAATGCACAAATCATGATGCTCTTTGCGGCCATTTTAAGCCCACCACTTCTCAATAGATCCTTCTGAAGATCATCATGTGCTTCGGGACGTCGAATGGCATGATATGAGGCAACAAAACGGGTCACCCTTTCAGCCCTCCGCCGCACTCGCACGGGATGTCCCAATAGCTCATAGTGAGATTAGTCTACATCTTGGCCACGCTCATTCTCAATGATCATGTTGTGCATGATCACACAAGCGTGCATGATGTATCAAAGCATCTTTTGATCCCAAAATCTAGCCGGTCCTCTCATATTAGCAAATTAGGCTTGCAAAATCCCAAAAGCTCTCTCCACATCTTTCCTAGCCGCCGCCTGAGCATTGTGGAAATCAAGATTTTTCTTACCTTCCGATTTTTTCAACGGCTTCACAAATGTTTACCACTTCGGGTAGATGCCATCCGCAAGATAGTAGCCATAGTTATATGTACGACCATTTGCTACAAACTGCACCAGTGGCAGTTCACCATTTGCAATCTTATTCATCAGTGGTGACCAGTTGACAACGTTGATGTCATTCAAAGATCCAGGCATTCCAAAAAAAGCATGCCAAATCCAAGTCTCTTGATCGGCCACCGCTTCAATTATTATAGTGGAACCCTTTTTCTGGCCGTGGAATTGCCCATGCCATGCCTTAGGACAATTCTTCCAACTTCAACGCATGCAATCTATTGAGCCAAGCATACCTGGGAAACCGCGAGCTTTGTTCATCTCCAATAGCCTTGCGGCGTCTTCAGCATTGGGAGATCTCAAATACTCCTGGCCAAACACTTGCACAATTCCGACTGCGAAGCGCTTGACACACATGATGGCTTGGCTCTCACCCATGGCCAAGTGATCATCAACTAGATCAACGGGTATATCGTACGCCAACATAAGCAAAGCGGCTGTCACCTTCTGAAAGGTGCTATGCCCGAACTATTCGGCGGCATTGCTCCTTTGCTAAAAAAATTGGTCATGGCTCGCTAGTTTCTCTACAATGCGCCTGAACAATTTGGTGCTCATCCTAAACCGGCGACGAAAGTACGATTCGGGGTATGTGGGATTCTCCACAAAATATTGCCTCATCAATCTGTTGTGGGCATCGATACCATCCCTCCAAATTTTCTGCGGACCCATAACCGAACCACCGTGCTTCGGTTTTTTATTGATGTGCATAGTTAAGATCATTGCAAGATCCTCCTCCTCTTCCATATCAAATTCTTCTTCGAAAGAATCATACGATAAACTCATCTACAATGTTCAATTTAAACTAGGCTATAAAAACCACAAACCACATGCACCAACATTGGGGCGTTTTGTCGAACACCTTGCGGGCGCCGAGCGGCAGCGGGCGGCCAGGCGCTGTTCGTCGGAGGACTGCGCACGTGACGGGCGGCGGTCACTAGAGGGAGACGGGGAAGCCGCGGCGCCGCAGGGATAGGCCGGGGAAGCGCCGGAATAGTCACCGGAAGAAATGGGTTGGCGCGGGCGGCGGCGGCGCCAGCGACTGGATGGGATAGGTGAAGTTGCGGGCGAGCGCTCGAAAGTCCAGCGCGGGAGCGGGCGCAGCAAATAAGCGGCGTGCGATGGCGTTTCGGCCGGCGCGCTGAACTGGATATGCCGCGCGTGCCGTTTTTGCGCCTCCGCTGGAGCGTCTGGAGCGGTAGTGCGCCCAAAAAGCACTGATTTTTCAGCGCGGCGCTTATATAGCGCTGCTGTTGAAGATGCTCTTAATAATCTAATCTATAAAGAAGAACGCAGTTGCACCGTGCATACTGGTACAGCGGAGATAATTAATGTCCACTTGTAAAAAAGATGATCAATGTCCAATCACTATAGGTAGAGGAATTTACACTGCAAAGACCTTGGCCAGTGCTCCACCTTGCAGCAGTGAGTTAATCACTATAGAGTAGGTAGTAAACGAGTTGTTTGTGAAGTGATTAGACATCATGGTCATGCGCACTGTACACGACGCGTACGTGAGGCTCTCTACTCGCAGAATCTCGTGTTTGGCTCGGTACGGGCGACCGCGACCGCATCGCCCTGCCGCTGCACACGGGCGACACCATGTCGGGTTGGTGGCGCGTTTTTGTCAGGAACCCTCAAGCATATCCGCATGCCATTAACGCACGTTCGCATCGGGCACGGGCAGACGCCATCACGCCGCACCAGTGCCGCTGTCTCGTCGTGCTCCTGTGCCCGTGCGCCGATGACGAGACGAATCAACCAGAATTCAATCGCGTGTGCTCCACCACCGTACCGTCGGTAGTCGCCATGCTTATCTCAGATAGTACAATGGACCCGTGACTTTCTACACTTGGTGACTTGGACCTGCCTGTCAGGGGATTTATCTGGTGCTAACATTGTTATTGATCTTTGTGGTGAACTGCAGACGTGGATGTACATAGCCGTGCCGTTCGCCCTTCACGTCGGTGAACGAACGCTGCGAGCGTTGCGTTCCAAGGCCTATGCGGCCAAGATCCTCAAGGTAAGGTAACCGAGAATCTGAAACCAAAGTTCAGTGTCTGAACGCCAAACACTAATAGTATTAATCACAACTCCGGGTAAATAAAATAAAGAGTAAATAGAAAGACCATAATTTGCATGCATTATCAAGGTGCGCTGATTAGGCCTTGTGATCCATTTCTCCCCTGCCATGCCAACAAAAATGAAATGTTTTTTCTCTTTCGGGCTTATCGTTTTGGAATTTCTATTATTATTATTTTTATATAAATCAGGATATTGTCATGTGGATGGGGGTGGTAGGATAAGGGCATCCAGAATTGATCGATATTGAACATTTGAAATCACTTGGGATCAAAATCAACATCTTCACCATTTATAAGGCTGATGAAGAAAAATAAGGATAAACACAAAGAATGGTGTACATTATTAACTTTTCCTTAACCAGCGTGAAGCAATGAAACTAGGCCAACACATGCTCATGCTCTTACTTAATTTGATCATGCCCTCAGGTGTGCCTTCTACCAGGAAATGTGCTGACTATAACGATGTCAAAGCCCTACGGGTTCAGATACAGAAGTGCAGTGGCGGAGCTTAGTGGAGAGCAACCTGGGCCATTGCCCCCCCAGCCCATGAGAAAACTAGCATATATCCCCTAGTATTCAGCCCATATGCCCAGTTAAAATCAGCCTAAACTCATATTTCTTGCCCCTCCAGCCCATTTGCCCCTCCATAAAATCAGCCCAAGCTCCGCCACTGCAGAAGTGGACAATATGTTTTCCTTCAGTGCCCAACAATTTCTCCGTTTGAATGGTTTGTCACCTGCTCATTCTGTCAACAGACAACATTGCTCTCGGATTGTACTACTGTATTGAGCTAATCCCCATTGTTCAGGCACCCCTTCTCCATCACTTCAGCCCCTGGAGATGACTACATCAGCGTTCATATCCAGACCAGGGGAGACTGGACACAAGAGCTCAAGCACATCTTCGTCGAGAACTACTTCTCGCCATGCCTGCCCAGCAGAGCTTCATTTGGCGAGCTAGGCATGCCAGAACAGAAGAGGTTATTAATACTGCATCTCCTTGTCAATGTCATGCCTGCTCCACTGTCAGTTCCTTCTTTAACTAAGTACCTGAAACTGAGCAATGCCTCGTCTCTGCTGCAGCCCTCCGAGGTTGCTTGTCGACGGCCCGTATGGTGCTCCGGCGCAGGATTTCAGGAACTACGACGTCTTGCTTCTCGTCGGTCTCGGGATCGGCGCGACGCCTTTCATAAGCATTCTAAGGGATCTGCTCAACAACATTAAGCTGGCTGATGAGCTGATGGTACGGTCTGATGAGCCCAACAACATCGTTCAGTGCCGATGACCCTAAACCTTTGGTATCTTTTTAGGACCTATCAATGGAGACCAGCAGGTCTGAGGACAGCAGCAACGCCTTCAGCGTGTCGACGGCGAGCAGCAACAAGAGGAGAGCGTACCGGACAAGCCGCGCACACTTCTACTGGGTTACAAGGGAGCCCGGATCGTTCGAGTGGTTCAAGAGCGTGATGGATGAGGTTGCTGAAATGGACAAGAAGGTGACGGTCTCTCATCCTTCCTTCTGTGCCGCTGCTCATCTTGCCATGTTGGTTACTGATGATGATGCTTGATGTTGTTCTCATGGTGGCGACCCAGGGTGTCATAGAGCTGCACAACTATCTCACAAGCGTGTATGAGGAGCGCGACGCAAGGACGACTCTGCTCTCAATGGTTCAAGCCCTCAACCATGCCAAGAATGGTATAGACATAGTATCAGGCACCAGGGTAAAACACTTCACACATATAGTATAAGATAAATTTATGTATGTGTACTGAAAAAAACTCATTACCAAAATTAAACAAAAATCAGGGCTCAGCCAAAGAAGTGGTTGAGGTTGACAGAAACTGAAAATGTGTTATGTGCTCATGACAGGTCAGGACACATTTTGCAAGACCTAACTGGAGGGAAGAGTTCACAAGAATCTCTGCAAAGCACCCCGGTTCGACAGTTGGTAATATTCTTCTCCAGTTTGTTTATTTTTCCCTCAGGCATCTAAAAATACCCAGTGTTGAACATTGATCAACAGTATCATTCTGATCACTGAAGTTGCTCATGCTTGCAGGGGTCTTTTACTGTGGGAAGCCCACACTAGCTAAAGAACTGAAGAAACTATCACTTGAGATGAGCCACAAGACGACGACTCGCTTCCATTTCCATAAGGAGTATTTCTAATAGAATAGAATACAAACACATCTGATAACCATAGTAACAAATATTGATTACAAAAATTCAATGTTTTTTTTGGAAAAAACCTTGCCCTCTTCACCATTTGTAAATATACATAGTATAAAGTAGAAGGCAGTTAGAAGCATTTTTATTAACAGTATGAGAGGGAAAACTATTCTATTTGATATGCATGTATAGTTTATAGCTACCCGTAAAAAAATATCAAAGGTTAAGCATACAAGAGACTGAGGGCACCATCTTCCTTGGGTCTTGTATAACTTTGCTCTTTACCGGTGTGATAGTGTGTGTTACTGTTGATTGTGTGCATCCCAATTGTGCAGAAGAAGCCGGGTGTGTTCTCATTGTGTTTGTCCCCTTAATGCTACATTACAAGTCAATAAAAAAATGCCCTTTATCAAGAACAAAGAGATTCAGGGCACCAATCTTCACAACGTATCTGTACATCATTCAGTTCAATGTTCACATTTGTGTGTCTAGTTACTAATTACTAAGGACATCTCTTGTAACTCAAAAATGGGTTTTTTAACCACAACAGATCCCTCAAACCTATAAGCCTCAAAAGGTCCATTTTCTGCTCAAATTTGGTATCCGGTGGGGTTGGTGCCTTTGTCGCCGGCGACGGCGGCTTCTCTGCTAACCCTAGATCGGGTCCCGACTAGATGGTTTGTGGGCCTATGATGTGGGCTCCCCCGTCCCCTTCTGGGCTTGCTGGGCCTGGTGAACCTCCCCCACTCTCCTCCTCCTATGCCTTCCCTCCGTTATCTATTTTGGGCCCTGGGTCTTGGCCGACCCAACCCACCCCCCTCTCTCTGGCCCGGCCTGCATCGACGCTCCTGGCCTCGCTCGCTCTGGCTATATATGGGTCCGCAAGGGTTCACTTCCCCCCTTTCTATGGTTTCCTGCCTCCTCTTCCGATCTTCGTCGTCTCCGCTCCCCCATCCGCCATTTCCGTAGATCCGCTCTGCCCCCTCCCCTCCCCCTCTCCTTTGTGGCCGTGTTGTCCATGGATCAGTCGCGTGGCTCTTCGAGTGAGGCCATCTCTGGCTAGAATCGGCGACGTGAGGGTTCGGGTGACGGGGCTGCAGATCTGGAGCTTGAGGCGGCCCTGCGCTCCAAGCTTGAGGCCGAGCAGGCTGCCCGTGAGCAGGTGGCTCGCGAGCGCGAGGCTTGGGCGGTGGGGCCCGAGTGGCTCCAGCGGGATGAGCGGGCCCGTTCCACGACGGCCTCTGCGGCAGCGTCCGGGCTGGAGGCGCCCAAAGCTGGCGGCTCCGGTGGGGATCCTTGGGAGGCCACGGTGGCGGCTAGCAGATCTGGCTCCGCCCCCTGCCCTCCTCCCCCTCCCCCTCATGGGCAGCTGGCTCCGGGCGGCGGTGCCGGCTGGGCGCCGGGGTCCTCCTCGGGGTTCGGTGGCCGTTCGATGCTGCACGGCAGCCCTGGATCTTGTGCGTTCGGGCGTCATCCTCCTCCCTATGGCCCTGGCGCGTCCTCTACTGGCCAAGGGTGTCGGATATCGGGTTCCGGCAAAACCCTTAAGGTTCGAACTCTGGGGTGCACACGAAGATCTTCTCCCTACCGAAACACGCCCACAACCTCGCCGCGATTCTAAGCTAGCACGATGAACAATACAAGAGACACGAGGTTTATACTGGTTCGGGCCACCGTTGTGGTGTATTACCCTAATCCAGTGTGTGGTATGGTGGATTGCCTCTTGGGCTGATGATGAACAGTACAAGGGAAGAACAGCCTCGCGAGGGGTGTTCTTGTGGTGGTGTGCTTGGAGAGGAACCGATCCATCTTTGTTGGCTCTAGATGAGATGATCCCCGTTTTCTACTGTGGTGGCTATCTCTATTTCTAGAGGCCCTGGTCCTCTTCCTAAATATTAAGCGGGAAGGGAGCCAACAACGGCCATTTTGAAAGGGGACAGCTAGTACAAGCTATCCTAACTAAAGGTGGTCTTCGACTGCCGAAGGCACTTGCGATGACGCCGTCTTGGGCTCCACGGTGACCTCCGTCCTGCCGCTCTGCTGGTCTTGGTCTCGTTGCACCGATATGGAAACCTTTGCCTGATGCCTCTGTACTCCGCACCTGCGCTTGCCCCCTTTTCACCAAAGAGGAAACGAGGACACTGCGCAGGCTGGCGCCCGCCTGTCGCCCGCCTTGTCTTGATCGTCATGGCTTGCGTCATGAGCACCTTGCGAGGTACCCCTTGCCTTGATCTATCCGCCTCCTCGCGAGCCTGCTTGGTGAGGCCGCCCCTGAGGAAGACTTGTGTCGTCCGCCCCGCGAGGCTTGACCCCTCGAGAGGGTCTTGAACTTGGGTTAATGAAGACGGGTCGTACCGGGCCGCTGGTTGAGCCACGCTACAGGCCGCAGGCAGGCATGTCTGGGGACCCTTGTTCCCAGAACGCCGACAGTAGCCCCCGGGCCCAAGGCGCGCTCGGACTTGGCTTAGCAGCAAAGCCAAAGGGCAAGTGCGGAGCGACGCGGGCCCCGACAGCCTGCGGCCTTGGTCGTCGCGTGGCGGTTGATTGGACGTCGGCGTCTCAGCTTCCCCATGCTGCCTCGGCAACTGCCCAATTTGACGAGTCTGTGCTGCATGCAAAAAGAGTCATCATTACCTGTGATCGCGGAGGCCGACGGTTGGCCTCCCTTGGGCTATAAATGGGGAGGGGCGAAAGCCCCCGTTGCACATCTCCCCTCGCCCCGCCCGCTTCTTCTCCCTCCTTGCTCCGGTTGCTTGGAGCGTCCTATGGCGCCCGTGAAGAGGTTCAGAGCCGCGGAGAAAGGGAAGGCTCGCCAGGAAGGTCCTGGCTCTCCTCCGCCCAAGCGCGACCGTGGCCGCCCCGCAAGCATCCCACGACTCCCGTCGTGGCTCCTCGTGGTCGCGGTGGTGGCCCTTCACGTGGTGGTGGCCGCCCGTATCGAGGCAGCCCAGCCGGTGGAGGAAGGCGCGCCGTGGCTGTGCGGCCTCCCCAGCCGTGCTTTCACTCGACAGAGCTGCTGCCTGAGTTTGTTGTGTGGTCGGACAACCCGGCCGGCAACTGGCTCCAGCTCCCTCGCTTCTTCGTCGGCGAACTGCCGGCCGCTGGCCCTGATGAGCTCTGGCTGCAGGCGGACGGCTGCTGCAGCAGGGCCTCCTGGGTCGCGGTGGAGATCTCCGTCACCGGGAACGTGGCCCTGGCCCGGGGCTGGCAGACGTTTGCCCGCGCGTGTGGCCTAGGCCGGCGGTGCACCCTCCACTTCAAGTAAGACGGCGACGCGGCCCTCTACGTGAGGGTGTTCGAAGAAGATGGCCGCCGTGTTGGGTGCTGCCCTGAAGACGATGATGGCGACGGGGTGCTCGGCCTTGGCGACGGCCGTGACGAGGGCGAAGACGAACCCGCTCCTGGCGACGGCCGCAGCTCGCCGAGCTTCAGCGGCTCCTCCTCCGGCGACAACTCCTCTAGCGGTGGCCGCGACCAGCCACCACGCCGCCGCGCCCGCTTTGACGGTGGCAGCGGGTCGTCCCATCGCCGCGCCCCTGTGAAGCACGAGGCGGAGTCTGATTGAGCTCAGGAGGATGACGCAGATCCCTTCTCGTGAGCTGCGCTATTTTTATTTTGTTTTTCTCCTTTTCCTGCATTGAGAGAGAGAGAGAGAGAGTAGTATGGGGCCCCGCGGGGGCGTGCAACAGACTATGATCCCCTAATTATCGTGCTACACTCATTGTCCCTGTGATGTGTTATGGTGTCGTGGTTATGTGCCTGTGCGTAGGATCAACTTAGCTCGGGATGTTTGCAATAGTTTCCGCCTTGCGAGGTGCCTTCTTGAGGCCTCGTTGGGCGCCTTAAGAGCTGCAAAAATTAGTAGGGAGAATCATTTCCGAACCTTAGTCACGAGGGTTGCCGGTTATGGCCCGGTGCTCTGCGTTGCAATGCCCGAGGGGCATGGACCGGGAGGGGTGCTCCCGCTGTAAACTTGAACAAGGGAGCCTCGCGAAAATCAAGTGAGAAGGGGCTCACGAGGGCGCCCGCGCAGCCCCCTCGCGAGGTTTGCAAGAGAGAGAGAGCGAGCCAGACAAAAGCCGAAAACAGAGAATAGGGGCAGAAGACAGCAAACAACACTAGAAGCAACTTCAATAAAGGTTCAAACAAGGGAGAACAAGCCAACCGCGGAAAGCAAATGAAAAGCCGCGTCCGGCACCTAGTCTAGTCTTCGACATCTTCTCACCAGCGCGGAGCTAAGTGCTGCCACTGGGCATGGGCGGGAGCCCCCGAGGCCCGAGGGCGGCACTCCGGAGACTCTAGGGCGTGTACAACCCCAACTCATTATTACGTGAGAGTGTCACGGGCGGCGAGCTTCACAGGCACCGATCCTTCTTCACAGGCACTGGGCCTTTCTTTGGGCGGCGAGCTTCATAGGCACTGGGCCTTTTTTTGGGTGGCGAGCTTCACAGGCACCGGGCCTTCTTCACAGGCACTGGGCCTTTCTTCAAGGGTGGAACTTCTCAACTTCCGGAGGTGCTGAATGTTCCAAGCGTTTGGGATGGGCACCCCTTCCTGAGTCTCCAGGCGCGCGGTGCCAGGCCTGGAAACATGGACAACCTTGAATGGGCCCTCCCACATGGGTGAGAGCTTATGTAGCCCTTCGCTGGAGAGCACCCGCCTGAGCACGAGGTCACCTACCTCAAGAGTCCAGGGGCGGATGTTGCGGCAATGATACCACCGCAGCGCCTGCTGGTATCTTGCTGCTCGTAGTGCGGCTTCTCGACGGTGCTCCTCCCCCAGCATGAGGTCCGTCCCCCGCATGGCGTCCTGTTGCGCTTCATCAAACGCTAGGATCCGTGCGGAGTGACGCCTGACCTCGTGAGGGAGGACCGCCTCTACTCCATAGACGAGGAAGAATGGGGTCTCGCCATTCGACTTGGTGGCGATAGTGCGGATGGACCATAGCACGAACTGGAGCTCGTCATACCAGCCCCTGCCTCAGGTCTCTAGCTTCTTTT